CAACTCTGAATTCAAACCAGGAACCAAAATGATCAATAAAGTGATCATGGGCCCTCAAATATGAAAAAAAAAATGTTGTCATAGTCAAAGCTGAATAATATTGAATAATCCTAGGAAATAGTAATATTTCCATTATTATTTTTGTTTTATTTTATTTAAAAAAATGAAAAATAAGGCAAGTTAGGCTTTTTCAATTCATACAATAATAGAAATTCACAATCAACATGCTCATATACATTGTTATTGACGAAATAACGTGTGCATATATCACTGGTTTGTATAATAATTATGTAGTAGGACTACTCCAGACCTTATTTTTATGATTTTGGTGACCAATTTAGATGTCTTTTGCGATTCTCCGACGAGACCAGTCAGAACAACAATTTCATGAGATCTGGTTTAAAAAAAAATTATTCCCCCCACCAATTGGGGTGAAGGAGGCTCGTCGCCTAACAAAATAAGTATGTCACCAGTAGGGAAAGACTAATGTGTTGGTACTAGGCGATACAGCGATATCGTGCCACCTATTTATGAAAACACAAAGCATTAGTATGACAATAACCGGAAAACATTGTAGTGGTATTTTTATAGCCTTAATAATTGATATTTAGGTGAAATAGGCTCTATTATAGCAACAATAATAATTGCAGGTATACGTTCAAGGTTGTAATCATATTATAAAAGCAAAGGGCACTCTAGTTAGTCTCTATGAATTTTTGCCTCACCCCCCCCCCCCCCCCCTTCTCTTACCGTTATACTTTTTTTTTAAATTTAAGAAATTTAAATTACTTTTAAATTAAAATGGTAAAAGCCAAAGTATTCATTACATGTTTATTTATAAATATTCACGATGATCTCATTTTTTAATCAAAAGAATGTAAATATTGATACTTTCCCCTAACATTTTTCTATGGTTTAGGCTGAAACTCCCATTTAACTTTTGGCCTAGTTTAGGTTTTGGCCGAAATCAGAAAATCCCTATCGGTCTGTCTCTATTTGATTTATGTATTGAGTGCGACAATGAAAAGTGTTTTGTAAACAACAGGACTTAACATTTTTTCATTATGGAGTTGAGAAACAAGTGTGTGATGGAGGGAGCCTCCAAACAGTACATTGTGAAATTGTCCACATAATAAGACAATAATGACAATGTGTTTACAAAGAAAACACACATCTTACATGCTTGATCAAACCATGTAATAATAAAAAAAAATTAACTACTAAGGCTAAAACTGATGGAATCAACGAATCAAATTGTATAGCATGTAGGCTAAATTTCCTTGTCTATAAAAATGTGATATTTGTCAAACTGGCTATCCTAAAACATGATTCAATTATACTAAACCTGACACCAATATTTGCACTTATCCTATTCTTTTTTTTTTTTTTTAAATGCAACAAAAACTTTCAAATCATGGCATCTTCAGACCTGCCAAGAAAAAAATCTGTAGGGTCATTGCGGGGGGCACCCGGGTGGTGGACACGGACGTTCATTGGTTTAAGATCTACATACTAATGCACAATTTTTTTTATCAAATAAGGAAATATAAAAAGTTACCTCCAATGTCTTTGAAGTGTCCACAGAAAATGAGAAAAACATTATTGGCAATTTTTATATACAGATATATACAGAACAGAATTTCAATCTTATTTACAAATGTACACAGGCTGCTAGAGTTCAGTTTTCCAGCATATCCTAGTGGTCTTTTTGCCCTTGTCCAACAACTCTTTGGACAACTGAAGGTTAGCATCGCAATTGATTTTTGTTACAAACAAGTTAGAAAGAGTATCAACTTTCGTGCTTGCCCTTGTTTCATTGTAATTTTTCTTCACAATCTACTAGCAATCTGCAAATATGGTATCATTTCTATGACTCTGTCATTAATAATGATCAGAGTTGGCTAGAGAAATATTTCTTTAAATAAGAAAGGTGGTAATTAAACTTCTGATCTGATAAATGAATCGTCCGATTCCTTAGCAAAGAAATAAGACATGGATGTCCTAGATTGACCAGACATGGATGTCCTAGATTGACCGTGTTTACCTTCAGTGTGTTTTTTTTTTGGGTTAAAACATGTTTATTGATATCATTGTACCCACCACTTTCAATAGATTTATCCATTTAAATAAGAAAAGCTTTAACCAAAAAAAAAAAAGTGACAACACAACTGAATTATTTTTTAGCCTAGTAATAGGACGAATCAAGATCGGATCAATTGATTTGATGAATGAAGAATGATTTGGAGATCGTGGTTTGCTACAATAAAAACATGGTGGTGCCTACACGTCTGGACAAATAGTGTGGGGTATATTCATCCGGCGGGCATGTCACGCTTTATTTAAAATTGTCACTTTTTAACCATTTGTTCATTATATATACCATCAACTGCAATGGTTCTAGTATTTCTTTTCTAGAATTGAAACATATTTCTTTTTCATGTAAATGTCTAGACTATCTTGAAATTGTTGAAATGAAGTACCGTAAACTCTGATAGACTATTAGCGGTCAATTGACAAGGCTGATGGACAAATATCTCGCACAACTTTGTTACAGTGGTCCTGTGATGGGCCCATGTGACTTGGTCGAATATATAATAGCTGGACGAATATCCCAAGAACTTATTCCACCACTTCCTGTTGTACCGATTTTTTTTTTTTTTTTTTTTTTTTTTTTTTTTTTTATGTTTTTTGTCGCTTTCAGGTTTTTATGACGGGTCAAAAATTATAATGTTCGGAAAATCTGCATTTTAAGGGGTCTTTTGGAAGGTCGGAGTGAGGGGTAAAAAATCTGTATAATTCCAACAAAACCGAAAGGGTTGGCAGGTGTACATCTTTCCAGATGAAAAGATGCTGCAATTTTTATTCATTGATAGAAAATCAATGTACATAAAAATCAAGGAAAGTAATGTCCAAAATGGTTTTTAAAACTGTCACTGTAACCTATTTGAACATGTTTGGTTCTATCACAGAGAGGTAGAGCACATACCACTGAACTTGATGGTCCTCTCTGTTGGCCGGCCTGTTGAAATTGATCTGTTGGTAATCTCACACAGTTTTTTCCAGGCTGCCACAAATTTCTTCTTTAGCTTGTCCTCGTAAATGTAGGGGGATGTTTCATCTTCCAGGTCCTCTAAGCTGAGTTCTCTCTTCTGGCATTTCTCTATTTCATTACGCAATGACTGAAACAAAATATATGCACAGAAGAATAAAACTAATGGAATAACAGACCATTGGAAAGTCATCATTTTGGTCATACAGAAATTTTCTTTTGAAACATCAAATCAAATCATAGAAAATTTATTAAGGTTAGGAAATTATGGAGTAAAGACAAATCAAACAATTTTTTTTATTAATATATACAAATATATTAATGAGTTGCATGTTGTATATTGTAAGTCTACTCAAAAATGTAGAATTTGCAATGATTTATACAAAATATAAAATAAAGTAATTTTGTAGATTTCTGAGAATTAATTTTAATATTTATTTATTTATTTAATTTTTAGGCATTTTTTTTTTTTTTTGCTTACCTTACCGCTCTAAGCGCTTTACAATTATTAAAAATATGTAACCTATTTAAACTGCTAAAGCGAAAGAAAAATGAAAAACCAGAGACATTAGAATAGTAACTGCAATGTGAAAAATAACTATAAAAACAGTAGCTAAAACATTAAAATTTTATTATAAAAACAAGTACACTTAGGAACGTTTTGGCTTATACTTTAAAAAAAAACCCCATAAATACAGGATCAACCCGAGACAGAAAATGAGACAGGGCAAGGAGGGTGCATCACAGGTCATAGGCGGACCTAAACAGATGGGTTTTAAGGGACTTTTTGAAAGTGGACGAGGTTTCACAATGACGGATGTGGAAGGGGAGCTGGTTCCAGAACGTGGGCGCGTGGAAGTAGAAGGTGCGTTTACCGATGGTCTTAATTTTGGTTCTTGGGATTGAGAGGGTTCTATTGTCAGTTGAAGAGCGTAGTTGTCTTGTGGGGATGTAAGGAAGCAACAATTCAGAGAGATAGACAGGAAAGTGAGGGTCAGTGAAAGAGTTCAAGCATAGATTGGCAGACTTGTACTTGATGCAAGAGGATATTGGAAGCCAGTGGAGTTGCTGCATGTGTGGTTGAAGGTGGTCATGTTTCTTTGATTTTAAAATGAGTCTGCATGCTGAGTTCTGTGCCTTCTGAAGTTTGTCTATGTGGTGTTGAGGAATGCCTGCGAGAAAGAGTGTTACAGTAGTCAAATTTTGAAAGAATGAGTGAAGAGACGAGAGTTTTTGTGGCATCAATGGAGAGGAGGTGTCTAATGGTGCTGATTTTTCTAATTTCGTTGTATGCTGATCTGCAGATGTTCATGACATGTTTGTTCATGGAGAGGGTATCTGTAAGCGTGACTCCAAGGTTTCTGGCAGAGGAAGAGAGTGTGATGTCAGAGTTGCCGATAGATATAGAAGAAGGAGTAGATGGAGGGAGAGGTTTGTTTTGAGAGCGGATGAGAAGGATTTCCGTTTTATCATCATTTAGCTTCAGTTTGTTGCAAGTCATCCAACACTTTACGTCGTCTACGCACTCCTGCATGCGAAGGATTGTGGCATCAAGTTGATAAGGAAAGCAAGTCACTGATTTGAGTGTCATCAGCAAAGGATTGACTGGAAACTGAGTGGTGGCTAATGAGAGATGATAGAGGTTTAGTGTAGACCGATCTTTGAGGAACTCCAATAGACAGGGCTGAAGGTTTGGAAGAGCGGTTGGAAATAGAGACTGAGTTCTGTCAGAAAGATAAGATTTAAACCAGTTTAGAGCTGAACCAGTAAGTCCGAAAGAAAGATGAAGACGGTCAAGAAGAATCTGGTGGTCAATGGTATCAAATCATTAAATTATTCCCTCAAAAGACTCTAAAGGTATGACAAATAACGTTCGGGTCTGGAGCATTTAGCTTAACAAGTTAGTCAGATAAAATGTACCTCCAGCAGATTTTCTAATTTTCTAACATGTCTCCTATTGGGTTTGGCTTTCAACTTCTCGTCCTGTTTACTTTCCTGGAACTCATCAGCAGATGCCCCTTCTTCTTCATCAGCTTTCCATGATGGTCCTGAAAGGGTTTTCGTTAAATTAATTAATATTAGAATTCGAAAATTAGTTTATAGACATTTGACATTTCGTTTAAGAAAAAAATCATTTCAGTATTAAAATTGAGGAAATTAACAAAGCTATAATGGTGCATTAAGTAATTAAAAATTCTTTATAATATTCTCATTCTCCAATATCACAACTTGAAAGTTTTAAGACAAATAATTAATTTTCCGTTTTCCCCAAGCAAAGAGAAAATAGAATCGTTTATTAAAAAAGAAAATAGAGGATCTGAGGCTGAAGATTGTGAAATGCAAAATAAAACATTCTCTTAGAGTCATCTGAGTAAAAGTCAAAGAAGAAGACCATTGGACAGACAGACAGTAGTTATCAATTGCTTTCATAAAGAGATGACTAATTTACCTGGTTTCATGGCAAACTTGTTTTGAGTTTCAGTTTTCTCACAGTTCGTAAGTCCAGAGGTCAAGTTCGCCCTTTTATGCTCCTTTGTTTTATCAGCATTTTGGTTATCGTGTGTGCCTAGTTTTCCTAAAATGTCTTCAGTGACATCTTGTTTAAGTGTAGAATGTTCAACTGAGGGTTTAGGCTGCTGGACATTGGAGGTAATGGTAATTTTAGGTGAAGCATCAACACCATCATTTAAGGTGGTGCCAAAAACACAATATTCGTCATCTGGATCAAGACTTCTTACTGGGGCTTCCTCTCCAATAGAGATGGCATGCGGTAAAACAGAATTATGGGATGTCAATGTGTCCTCTGAGGTTTTCAAAGATACCAGAGTAGATTTTTCAACAACCAGTTGTTCTTCTGGCAACTGAGCATCAGCTGAACTGTCACCCACGTCTGCAATCTTCAAAACAACTTCTTGAAGAGTTTTTGTGGTCAAAAGAGATTTTTCTAAATTTTCATATTCATTAGTTGCCATTCTTTGAGTGTTACATAACATTTCACAAATTGTCCCTGAGTCTATCATCTGAGAAGTTTGTTTAGAATCTTCCAATACCTGAATGTCCTTACTACTTGACAAGTCATTCTTATCAAATTGTGTTAATTCTACTTTACCATAAACATTAGACTTTGCTTCGTCTTTAACAGTATAGCTAGGGTCCTCCATAGCAATGGGAACAATTTTCTCAATATTTTGGCTCTGAGAACATCCTATATCATGTATAGTGGTTAATTTCTTTTGTGGGGAACTATTTTTTAGACAGTTTTGCACATTGCTGTGTCTATCAGTACTCAGACTGTTTGGACAAGTAGTCATGTCCTTCAAACTATTTTCATCTGAAATATCCCCACAGCTTGGGTCACCATTTTCAAATAACAACACTTGTGAATTAAGGCTATTCTGATAAGGATCAGATTGTTTCAGTTGACTTATTTCTTCAGCACTGTTAATGTTGCCATGACCGATGAGGCATGATTGGTCTCGTCTTCTATCAAAAGAGTCAGCTGTCTTTACCTTCAAGACACTTGTTAAATTGGTCTTTTCTAATGATACACTACATTCCAAAAGTTTTGTAATCTTTTCAGTTGGACCAATCCCATCCATAGAAACATCTAAGCATGATGGAGCTTGTATTTTTTCCTTTTTTCTCTTTTTCACATTTTTGGGAAAGCTAAACGCTTTTAGCTCAGTGATCAAATCTTTTAAGTGCACAAATATACGTGATGGTTCTTTTTCCATGTTTCCTTGAGTTTCTTTTAAAAGATTGACCATTCTTTCTGAACAACGAAACTCATGATCACATGTTTCATATTTAGCTTTTATCAATTCCAAGAACTTTGGATTTTCCTTGGACAGAGCTTGTGAGCAAAAACTTAAAAACTGAAAGTAAATAAAAAAAAGATTGTTAATAAAACCAGACAATATAATTGGCCAAGGACAGAGTTTGATGCTCCCAAACTGGCCTAAGCATAATTCAGGATGAATAAGTATCAAATTACATTTAAATTAAAGTTAATAGTTATTGTGGTACATTTAGTTTGTCAAAGATGTTTTTCCTTTCACTTCTAACAGTGTCAACAGCTGCACCTGTTCCAATGTTAAGCATTAAAATGGGCAAGATGCAGATAGGAGCATAATAAAACTACAAACCAGACAGGGTAAACGAAACATTTTTTATTTATCCCTCCTATGCTCCAGGACTTGTAAAAAAAAAAAAAAAAACACTTGTCCCAATTCAGTTCGTAGTCTCAACAGATGCAAATATCAAATTTATCATTTAAAATTGCAATCTGATGACAAAGGTGTGTTGATTGCAAAATGGCAGAAATTTATTCACCGCTGGATGTAGAATGCAAATTAAATTAATAACCGAAGATGTACTTTTAAATTAATTTGATGTTTTTCAATCGGAAAAACTACCGGAATGTATATATTTTCCACCTGATCTCTTAAAATCATATCGCTGATGGGTCTCTGCGTACAATCGTAAAAGACATCTCAAAAAAGTACATTGTACACCAAAATCGTAAGAGTAAGAGTAAACATCAGCTATAAATGCCTTAAATACTTTTTTTAAAAATGATTTAACATTAATGAAACCTAAAAAATGCTGCTAGCCATCTAAATTAGATTGAGAATAGCTTTAAAATAGCCATTTAACCCTTGATGTTAGCTCTTTACCATGTCGTCACCGGACAGAAAAAATTTTTTTTTGCCATTTTGTTTATTTTTACTAGGAACAAAATTGGTTTTCGATAACCATTAAATAAGAAAGCTTTAATATTTTGTAATTTTTAAATATCTAAATAAATCTAAGTAAATTTTAAAATACAAAAATTTAACTTTAGCTAGCTTCCACCGGCTATAGGCTATTACTAAAAAAAAATTTATGGAAATGTAGGTAAAGATGTCCACTGCCACTACTGTTAAAGTCAGCTCTTTCCAATGATATGCTTTTACTCTAAGTGTAGGTACTTCGAGCGCACAGGATTTGGGCATACGGAAAAACAATGCAAAAACTGTTGAGGCCATTTTACATTCAGCTCAGGGAGGACTTCCTTGTTTTGCGTATAACGCCACAGTCTTTTAATAATAAACTGTTTTGTCATCAGTGATGTAGAGTGCATATTTTTCCAAACACTGTGATATTATTTTTACAGCATGTTGTATCTTGGGACTGGCAACATATTTTTTCTAACGCATTGGTATGTATATAATAGCTTATTACTTTTTAATGTAAAATAGCGGATATATAAAGATATAAGATGGAACTAAAATTACTCCCAGCCTACATGTTAATGTTACATATAGAATATAGGTCTAAGTCTAAGTCTAAGTAGTAAGAACAGTTATTATTATCTTATTTGTGGATGGCTATAGAGTATATCAGACCTGTTTACCCTAAAACTCTTAAAAATCGTACAATATTATCACAAAATTGTTCAATACCTTATATTTATAGAAAAAAATAAACATACAGTATACATGTTAACACCTCAAAATCGTACATTGTACGCCAAAATCGTAAGAGTAAACAGGTCTGGTATATTAGCGACTATAAATAAATAAATAAGACTCAACATCATCATTTTCATTGTAATTATATTTTATTAGGACATAGGAAAAAAAAGATACGTAGAGTAGACAAAATTGACAAATGTTTAATATTTCTAATAAAATACACAAATTAATAAACACACATGAATAATATGGAAAAGAAAATAGAAATTGTGTAGATTCAGTATTATGATTATAGGTTATTTCTAGGCTTCTTTCAGGTGCAAGGGAAAATTTTAATTTCCATTGCCGATGAGGGGTGTTTGGACGAAGATCGCGAAGACAAAGTTGATGAAGGAGAGATTCGGGATTCATAAACCAAAGAAGTCTGCAAAGCAGTCTATCCAGAAAATGACGGGCAGCACATCCCCATTACCTTTTAAAATATAATCACGAATCGGTATGCTTGGATTAGTCTTATGGGTGATTTTATTTGATTAATTTTTGTTCATTCATAATAACATGCATTCAATTTTATATTAAAAAAAGAGTACTTACCTTTTTATAATTGTAAGAATTTATTTAAAATTTAACATATAATTAGTTAAAATTCAATAAACATGTTGGTTTTTTTGGGGGTGTGTTTTTATGTTTCTATATAAATGATAATTTTTTCCAAATTTTCTGTTCACGCTTTTCTTAACATAATCTCAAATAAAATTATACAAAATCTTGATGTTATGTAAAATTTGTGTTGTTTATTGTGTTGTATATTGCTTTGAGTGAGAATGTTTCCTGAAAATTTGGTAGCATTATCTTTTAAAATAAAAAAGTTTTGGGAAAAATAAGGCAGAAATATGGAAGTCAGTCACACGTTTTTTCAGCTAAATACAAAGATAATGAAGAGGGTTAAAAAAATTCACCAAAAAATTCATAACTCCATTTCTATAAAAGATAGGAAGATAAAATTTATTAGAACTAGCCCCCTTTAAAATGATGTATCATTTATGGCTATGGGACAATATTTAACATTTCTGTCAAAGTACCTACTTAGTGTATGTCAGATGTATTTGAAAATTTTAGCATGGATGATGTGACGATCTGAGGCTGGACTTTGTAAAATTTCTTACACCGTAAATCCGCCCTTGGAAACCCTTGTAAAATTATACCCCCCCCCCTCTCAAGTTGCCCCGCAGTCGCATAGCACGAGTGACTCCCCTTAGTGTTATCGCATTTCCACATCAGTATGCTCATCCTGAAAGCGTGCATTTTGTGTTCAAACCGTCTCACTGATGAACCTTGAGAAATTAATGCCATACAGCCCCCCAGTATTGCCCTGGAGACAGCAAAGCGGAGTATCGTCCCTTGTTGTTATTGAATTTCTAAACCACAAAACTCACGCCAAAGCGTGAATTTGGATTTTCACCTCAGCCCGATAAACTTTGAGGGTAGAAGGTCAAACCCCCAATATCAAAAGTGATTATCATTGAATGGGAAAACATACATTTAAATCACCCATTGAATCATCACCCAACTCGAATAAATAGCCAGAACAAGCAAGAATATGTCTTTTATGATCTCATCACTTGACTGTGGACGCTGGAAGGATCTAGACTTAGACCTTCATTAGCGTGATACATAACTGCGACTGCTACCTAGAGTACTAGTAAGTACGCAACCATGATTTTGATATTATGTTATTGCACTTGCATTGTTCATATAACTATGTAGCAAATATTTGATCGAGTTTGATCTTATTCTAATAATGCCTATATCATATTATATTGATACTATGAATTCTATTATTGCTTTTTCCGCGGGCTACGACACGCCGCCATCCCATCATGGGGATGGCAGGTTGTTGTTCCAAATCACCCATGTCTCTTTTAACGAGACGACAATATGTATACTATGTACCTGTACATTTAATGAATGATAATGATTCTACGTCCCATACTTCATTTATTAAAATGTTTGCTTGGTCCAACCTTGTCACGAAGCAACATGCTTTCGCCGACAATGACAAGACTTATATCCTATCCACAAATTGGATATATATGTTCAAGCTTTGTCACCTTCCATACATCGATCTGAATTCGTTGCTGTTGAAACGGGACTTATCAGCTTATGGATATTCGCCTGGATACTTATCCATTTTTGTATAATTTTCTGGTTTCTATTACTGGACCGACTTACCTTGAAGCTGAAACTGGGAGATTGATTTACGTCCTACACCTAACTACCTGACAGCTACTAGAATGACGTCGAGATCCAGGGACTCTTACTACCACGATTTATCGCTGGAGAGTCATCTTCCCCATCGCAGGGATCCCACAGAATCTACGACCGGGAACTCCGTCTTCCCTACGCTTAGAACAGCTCCAAAGATCGGAACAGGGACGCGCTTCTAGAACAGAAGGAGCTCCCACACTGTGTGATCCACCGAGATCATCACTGGAACTATACAGGCTAAGTCAACAAAGATTGAACATAGAACTTGAGCAATAAAGCATTTAAATAATGATGATACAGTCTGTATGTTAGGGACACTTGGTTTGCATTGATATACCTTTCTAATTGTATGAAATCCATGTGATATATATATATATATATATATATTAAGCACCAAGAGTATATAACGGAGGCGTTTGTAAATATTATTATTATTGAATAAATACTTATAGTTATTTTCTCCTTTAACAAAGACTTTGTTTCAGTCTATACTATATGTATGTAGATAGGTTATTATGTCTGTGTGGTAATTTGGCTTAATTAACGAATCCCTAGACAGAGTGCCAAGAGGAGATCTCATACGAGAGATACCCCTCAATGAAATATCATGTCAGATCAACACAGATGAATACCACAATTTTTTGACAATAGTCCTTTCATCAATGAAAAAGCACAGACCTTCAAACATAAAAAACTTGGACTCTTCACTCTTCTGCGCTGATTCCCATACAAATTTTGAAGTAGTCTCCCTTGCCTTACCAAAGTGCCTAGACTATAACTATAAACTATAACCACTATCATTCAATATGACTTTTCCTCCACATTTTGAACACTCATTTTGCTTTTATCTTTATAGATACTTCGATGAAACAAGGGAGACTACTACTTTTTGTGTATCTGAAATAGAAATCGGCGCCGAAAAATCCGAGTTTTTAATTTTCCGATGTGTGTCTATTTATTATTAAATTAGTACTTTCGATGTATATTTGAGTTCCGTTTTCGGCCTTATAATTAGGTAGACATCTTGGCCTACATTTTAATCAATTTCTTTTTCATTTACAATCAGTCAGCTTTGAGAAAATCCTTGGTAACTATAAGGCAACTTTCATCATTAAAATTAAGTCGAAGGAAAAGATTTGTCACTACCAAATTTTTTGTGCATCTGGGGAATGTATTGATCTACATGTATGCCAATTTTCACAGCGACAAGTGTCTTACGAGAGACGCCATGTTTCTACGCGTTCGCAGCAGGTCATGCAGTTCGCTCAACCTAATTTCGCCATGGGGTGGGCCAAGCCCCCTTTTTAATGGCGGAAGTTGCCGATACTTAGGAAATATTAATTTATTACCACTATTTACATCAAAATATTTGATAACTTGTGTTTCAGAATGCATTTTGAAGACATTTAAACTGGAATGTTTTAATTTGAGCTTTAACAACCCGGTAGAATCCATATAATAAATGATCAGAATTTACCGTGTGCAACACGTCATTGGCAACCATTCACAGCCACTTGCATAATGGCTGTATTGTAGTACTACCTCAGAGTTTCATTCATAAGAGTTTGCCGTGTGCAAAAACTACTATGCTATACCATTGTTCAGGGAAAGCTTTAATTAATTATTCATGTGCCAAAGTTGAAAGTTTAAACTAAGTCGACCCTATACAGTATTTTAGTGATAAGGCGATGAGTTGCCTTATATAAAGTATATAGTCATTGCACATGACGCGCGCAGCGGAATGAGGTCACAAGATGTGGAGGTTTCGTCTATAGTAAAAGTAAAAAATACCAAACGAACTCACACTTTAAAAATTCATAGCTCAAATAGTACTTAAGCTAAAAAGTTGATTCTGGTTTCATTTTTTTATTTGAAATTTGCTCTATCTAACTGTGTTATTAAAAAATTATTTCAATTTTTTTAAATTTTGTATTTAAGTGCCTAATCTTTATGCCTATACTTTATTTTAAAACAAGAAAAAAAAAAAATTTAAAGGGAATATAGTTAAATATGAGTTCTTCTAAATAAAGCAACAAAATGTAAGTTTAGTTTTTGTTAATATTACGCAGTGTGTGTTACTGAAGTCCAGTGACAGTGAATGTGAAGTATCTTATTTGGCACTATGATTCATTTTCATTATCTGGTGTTAACTGGACAACTTTACTTTAACTTACCTTAGTATAAACATTATTTGGCGACTCAGAATTGGTCATTTCGTCGCTGGTTTCCTTCAATGTTATTATAGTGTCCATGATATAAGCCTCCAATTATTCATTAAGTCGAATAAATAGTAAATGAATGCATCAAAAATGCAATCACTAGCATCTTGTTGATAGTAGTAAAAATCACCGCCAACACAATATCAACGATAACCACTTCCGGTTAATTGAGCCCATTTAAAAAGTTCATAAGTAAGCTAACAAAACAAAATTATATTTATTACTTTTATTTACGTTAAAAAGAATAATACCAACAATAAATGGTTGATCAGGGATACGTAATTAATCGATTAAAATGTTTATAATATAATGTAAGCCTCTGTGTAATGAATGATGCAAACTTCACTGGCGACAGAGGAGGTGCGGAGGGGGTCAAAGTTGCTACTGAATAAATTATAATCATAAGTGACACAGCGTTCAATCCGTATTATATGAAAATTAAAGAAATGGTGGAACATGATATGTTAAGCTTGAAAATGAAAGACAATTGTCTTGTCTTTATTCACAAGAATAAACATATCTTATTGCCAGGACGTCATTTGGGTAGGGCCTTTACCCCCCCCCCCCATCCCACCCCGAATTTAAAGGTTTTATTTCTTCTTCTTCTATATATTAAGGATCCACGATCAATTTTTTGATCATTTTGATGTTTTGTCTTTATTCACAAGAATAAACATTTCTTTCTGCCAGGACGTCTTTTGGGTAGGGCCTTTCCCCCCCCCCCCCCATCCCACCCCGAATTTAAAGGTTTTATTTCTTCTTCTTCTATATATTAAGGATCCACGATCAATTTTTTGATCATTTTGGCTCCTATGCATAGAGGGGATTTGCAATTTTTCTGTGCCTGGTGTTGATTTAAATTGCTATGTAGGCCTACTGTGGCACCTTCAGTAATAAACAGCTTAGTAAGCCGGCCAAGTTTGTGCCCCCCCCCCCCAAGAAACTGAAATGACGCCCCTGCGTGTTGCTACTAGAGTAGTGTGCCACCAGATATGGATGTCACCAGAGTAGGCAGGTTCGAAGGAGGTCCAAGTCCACAGGCACGTATGGAGGGTGTCACACCATGAGATTACCTCACTGGGTGACATCAACCCTAGGCTAATGGCGCAACTGGTTGTGATGCTTATTTCCTATAATCGTTACAAATTTTTAGTTACGGTATAACCTAGACGTTTAATAGCCCTACCCAGCGGCATACCTTGACTAAGTGCCACTCAGTGGCATACCTTGACTAAGTGCCACCCAACTTGAAAAAAAAAAGTGTCACGCAGCGAGTTTCATGCATGACCTCTGAACTCCGGTAAATAGGTTGATTTATTATCTTAAGAATTATTTTTTTTTTTTGGGGGGTGTCTTTTGGGGTAGGCGACTATCATTCGGTGTTGTTATTGCTTTGTTCCTATGTCACACGGCGAGCTTCAAGCGTAACATCTGAAGTCTGGTAAATTGATGGTTTTTATTATTCAGAAAGGAGTTTTTTTTTTTTTAAATGCCACTGTTTTTCACACCTTTGTGCTGGGGCTGCACACCACGCCGTCCTTTCGGTAGCCTGTTACAGGAAGGTTTTGTTATTTTCGTTACGCCGCGGCTGTTGCTTCCTAAGTCTTTACAATAAAATGAATGACAGCATCTTCTCTGTCGATGTTTTTTTTTTTTTTTTTTTTTGTACAAAGTCATCTCTGTTCCGGGGTTCCGGCAAATTTGGGTGTTTTCTTTGAAAAATGCTGACCAAGGCAATGCACTCTTACTACGACACAGGGCAGAAGACTTGGTTCCTTATTATAGAAAATGAGAAATTAAATGTATTATTATTATTTATTTTGACACTTTGACCCACCGGGTGTTTTCTAAAAATACCTGGACCCGTTGTAAAAAAATCCAACCGCCACCCGGTTAAGCCGGAGTGTTATATAT